ATTGGCATTGATATTGGTATGATTTTCGTTTTTAGTTTTTCAATTTTATTTTCTTGATATTGTCTCGTTTCTTTGACGGTCGTTATAATAATGATATGAGTGTTAGATAATAGATACAAGCCGGATCATAGTCTGGCTCAGACTCACAACATTAATGATGGTGGTGTACCAATGTCATTAATGATATTAGTGTTTGTTACATTGATTATGGTATCAGTCATAGTGTATTCGGTTTGTAATAATAGCAGTCATAATGCGTCAGGTTTGTTCAGGTACGGGTGCGTCATGCATATACGCCCTTCTGGGAGCAAAACAATGTGGATGGCGATTTTTGGCCACAGAATCTGACGAGTATGCCGCAAAAGTGGCATCGGGTAACGTTCGAAACAATCAACTCATCGATTTGATTGAAGTGGTGAAGGTTCGAGATGACCGTTTAATAAAAGTTTGTCTTTATTAATTTATTGCAATCATTTCTTTTGTTGGTGGTGATTCTATTATTGTCGTGCTGTCGTTAACAGTGGTTTAATTCAGATCCTTATTGAGATATTCAGTTGCCAGTTGTGCTTTTTCGAACGTCTTGTTTGAATGCCGGCCCTATATCCCTGTTTGTTTGTGATTTAGTTAATAACTGTAAGCTTTGATCAGTCTAAGAAATGTTCTTCTTCCTGATGAAAACCAAAAAAAACAAAACTGGTATTGTGAACAAACGTAATTAAGGATCTTGTGCGTGGTTACGGTAATCTGGAGTTCACGTTTTGTATGTGCAATCCTCCATTTTATGGTGAAGATGAAGCTGAAACGGTTTGTTTTTTTGCCATTGTTCATTGCGTTCATAATAGACAGTTTCAAATTTGGAGCTTCATGAACCGAATTTATGAAATTCCTGACGAATTTTGTCGACTTCAGTCACATTTTTTATCGAAAGTTTTTCATTTCTCATGATTTTTGTTTAGTTATGTCTGTTTTTGTAATGTTTAGATCTTTTGTTTGTTCACATAAGAATCAGGAAATCAAATTTAAGAAATTCGTGCAGCTTGATGAAAGCAATAAGGCAATGGAGAATAAATGTTATGAGGTGACCAAACGCTCGGCACCTCATTCAGCAACGATTGGTCGTAGAAATGAATTGAGTGTAACGGTATTTTTTTTTAGTGTCATTCAATTCCTGTATCGAGTGCTTCTAACTTTCATTCTTACTACATAGATGATTGACG